CGAGTGTCCCAGACTGAGAGCTGACTGAGTGAAGCAGACGACCTGGTGAGAGGAACCACCCCAAGAGAGCCAACATGGAAAGAGCTGACCCAGAGACAGGACGAGCTTCCAGGGAGCACTCGCCTCTTGGCCATGCCGGGCATGGGATGGAACAGACCATCGGCCAGTTTGGGTCTCAGCCCTAAACCTGAGGTCGAATCCTGGGCTGGTCACTGGGGCTGTGCTCCCTCCCAGCTCCTCCTGCCCCTGCAGACACGGGCACAGCAGAGGAGCTGGAAAGTCCTTGACTGTCCTGGCAGCAGCTGTAAACGTCACTGTCATCAGCTTTCTTCTGAGCACAAATCCAAACCAGCCTCTTGCTAGCTGTTATGAAGAAAGTTAACTCTTGTCTCAGCTGAAGCCAGGGCAGGTGTAAGTGATGCTCCCCACTCCCTGAGCATTTTCCTGGACCCCACAGATCTGTGTCCATGCAGCTTCCCTGGGATGAATCGGGTTGAAGTCGATATTCCCTGGTAAGAGAGGCACCAAAGCTTTTGAAAGCCTGCCTGGCCTGCTGGCCGTTCCTCACCCAGAGTGGCTGCAACAGGAAGTTTTTGGTTTTGGTAACAATATCTGGAGAGTGACGAGCTCTTGCACAAATCTGGCTGTGTGCAAGCCGATAAAACAGAGAGTCGAGCTTCTCATGGAGATTTTTCTTTGTTTATGGTCCGTGTAAGAGGAGGGAAAAGGATCGACAGGATGGGAAACAAATTACACTGGAAAAATATTCATGCAGCACATCTGTTCCCAGCGCAGGATGGCATTCCCTGGTGCTTAGGCAAGCTTGAACAGCGGCGGATTTCCCCTTCCCCTGCTGCCGACAAAGAGATGATCCACTTGCTTTTGCTTTTCGGAAACTCTTTGAACAGCCCTGTCTTCTGTCTCGTTTGTTCCTGACTTTTCCATCCCGGTTCCCGTCGATTCCATCCCGGTTCCCATCCTTTCCATCCTGGTTCCCATCGTTTCCATCCTGGGGAGGTTAGGATATACTTCATCCCCCCCCAAACGGTTTCTCTTTTTGCTCCCTGCTCTTTCAGCTCCCTCCCAGTTATCCCATTTCCGCTGTTTCCTCCTGGCGTCGGGCCAGTTTGACCTAATCTATGTATAACATACGGCGTCAACAGGAAATTCCCCCCGGCGTGACTCACGGAGCGACCTGCGTTCCTGCTCCAGGAATCGGCAGAGCTTGCCTATACATTGGGAACCGCACCACGAGCCGCTTGTGATCCTCACTGTGGGGCGGCGATGGCTCTTCTGCCATCGTTTAGTTTGTTATTCGGAATAAAAAGCTCTCGGAAGGCAGAGTAGGACAGTTGAGAGGTTGCTCCTGGTGGGATGCAGGCCTGGAAGGGATGCCCTGGGTCTCGGGGAGCTGCTCCCTTTTGCTGGAGCGCTGAGATGGGTTTTGCTCCTGGGGTTTGTTTGGGGACCTTGTCCCAGCACCTCGCTCCAGAAAAACTCCCGGAGAAGTTAGCAGCCGTGTTTTTTTTCAGCTTAATGAGGTTTCTTCTGCTTGTGGGTCTCATCCCCTCCCGACATACAGAGACAAGGGTTTCCTCTGCCTTCCCTCCCTCCGTGCTGGTCAGACCTGGTGTTTGTAGCGTCCACTTGCCGGTCTCTGCTTCCCATTTCATCCCAGACATCTCCTCTGCACCTCTCTCCATCTGGATCCTTCCTGGAACAAGGATGTTGCTGCTGCTCCAGGAGAGCTTGGACCCTTCATCCTCCATCAGAAATACTCCACGGACCAAATATCTTGTGTGTGGTTACTGCAGGGCAGGTGCTGTCTCTCTGTCCAAGCCCCTCGATGATTTAGGGGAAGAGAAACGACCAATTTTGGACTTGATAAGCCCGTCAGTATGTTATCCCGATATTTGCCTGCTGCTGGCACCATCCCCCTGAGTTTTCCCCAGTGACCTTCATCCTCCATCAGAAATACTCCACGGACCAAATATCTTGTGTGTGGTTACTGCAGGGCAGGTGCTGTCTCTCTGTCCAAGCCCCTCGATGATTTAGGGGAAGAGAAACGACCAATTTTGGACTTGATAAGCCCGTCAGTATGTTATCCCGATATTTGCCTGCTGCTGGCACCATCCCCCTGAGTTTTCCCCAGTGAGAGGGAGCCGGGGAGCAGTCCGCATGGGGATGGCCAGCATCACTGCATGGAATTCAATAATACATATATTTGTTGGGTTGTTTGGGGTTTTTTTAACAGAAAAGAAAGAGCTGGATCTCCGAAGATGATTTCTACAGACCTTCTCCAGGAGAGAGCAACGAAAGCACGGCAAGCATCAACGGGTTCGGACCGGAGGGGGCTGGCGAGAGCCTGGCCCCGGGGCTGATCAGCGCTCTCGATTTGGAAAGGCTGTCGGTGCCGTCCTCAGAGAGTGGGAAACCCAAAACATCACCCGAACGGGAACAAAAGGGCTTCAGTGTGGTGCATCGCAGGCAGATGGGTATGTGTCGCCCTCCCCGGCTTCCATCGGATGTCTGCGCTGGGCAGTGCTGGGGGTCTGGGGGGTTTTTTGGGTGATGGGCAGTTTGGGAAGCAGCCGTTTGCTGTTGCTGAGCTTGTGGCAGCACTAAAAGCTGCAGAAGGCGATGGGGCAGCTTCCCTCAGGGCTGCTGAGCCCATCAATGGTACTGGTGTTGTGATGGTTTTACCCTGGGCTGGGAGCCAACCCCACGCAGCCGCTCACTCACCCTCTCTGCTCCTGGGCATGGGGGAGAGAATTAAAGGCAGCTTCCCTCAGGGCTGCTGAGCCCATCAATGGTACTGGTGTTGTGATGGTTTTACCCTGGGCTGGGAGCCAACCCCACGCAGCCGCTCACTCACCCTCTCTGCTCCTGGGCATGGGGGAGAGAATTAAAGGGGTGAAGGGAAAAGAGACTTGTGGGGTGAGATAAGAACAATTTGATAACTAAACTACAACAATATTAGAAATAATAATAATGATGATAATAACAGTGAGATATACAAATGAGTGACACACGGTGACACTGCTCACCACCCCATGGCCAAGGCTCAGCCCGTTCCCAGCCAACGATCCCAGAGCAGGGAGAGTCCTGAAAGCGCAATCCTGGAACAGAGGTAACAGTCTGAGTGTCCCAGACCAAGAGCTGACCAAGGGAGGGAGACGACCCGGTGAGAGGGACCACCCAGAGAGAGATGACCTGGAGCAAAAGCAATCCAGAACAAAAAGGGATGAGCTTCCAGGGTGTCCTCACCTCTATCCTGGGCATGATGTGCATGGTATGGAACAGACCATTGGCCAGTTTGGGTCTCAATCCCAAACCCAAGATCAAATCCTGGGCTAGTAACTGGGGCTGTGCTCCCTCCCAGCTTCTCCTGCCTGCAGACAGCAGAGGAGCTGAAAGACCTTGGGCTGTTCTGGCAGCAGCTGTAAACATCACTGTTATCAGCTTTCTTCTGAGCACAAATCCAAACCAGCTTCTTGTTAGCTGTTATGAAGCAGGTTAACTCTGTCTCAGCTTAACCCAAGACAGATGGGAAACAAGAGGAGGTATCTTGGGTGCCTCTGTCCCTGTGTCCACCCTGCGGGACACATTTCTTCTATGCTGTCCCTTGTTCTCAGCCTCAAAACCCAAATGCATGCAGCCAGTTTACGGAGACCAAGGTCCTGTAAACTGGATGGCCTCAAGTTGCACCAGGGGAGGTTTAGGGTGGAGATTAGAAAAAATTTCTTCACTGAAAGAGTGATCAGGCATTGGAACAGGCTGCCCAGGGAAGTGGTGGGGTCACCATCCCTGGGGGGGTTCAAGAGATGCATAGGCATGGTGCTTCGGGACATGGGTTAGTGGATTAGGTGGTGTTGGGTTGACAGTTGGCCTTGATGATTCTTGAGTTCTTGTCCAACCTTAATGATTCTGTTCTGTTCTATGAACTCCTGCCCCATCCCACCATCCACCAGGACCGGCTCTCAAAGCCATGATGCTACTGGTTGCTCACTGTGAGCTGCCCATTGGCTTTTCTCTCCCCACCACCTTCCCTTTTTTTGGTTAAACTAAGACATCTGCTTTCACCCCAGGTCTTTCCAACCCTTTCCGAGGGCTCCTGAAGCTGGGCAGCCTGGAGCGGAGAGGAGCCATGGGGATCTGGAAGGAGTTTTCCTGCGAGCTGTCACCGCTGGAGCTCCGGCTCTTCCTGGACCACGAGGATCGTATCTGCGTCGAGAGCTATTCGCTGCTGCGGTGCGAGGCGCTGGCGCTGACGCACTCGGATGGCCGTTTCGAGCTGGTTTTCCTGGGGAAAAAACTCTACCTCCGAGCTCCTTCTCGAGACGAGGCGGAGGACTGGTTGGACAGGATCCGCGAGGCGCTGCACAAGTGCCGGCCTCAGCTGGAGGAGGACGAGTGGGAGACGCTGGAGTGTCCAGAAGACAGTGGCGAAGGTCAACCCATCCAGAGCGACTCTGCTGCTCTCCTCCAGTACAGCGATGTGCCTGGGAACGGCTTGGACTGGACTCTGGCTCACGAACCGGAGCTGGATGCAATAAAAGAAACTGTTCTGTATGTGGACATAGACAAAACCTGGGTGCCCTTTATTTTTTCCCTGTCTCTAGAAACTTTAAAGTGCTTTAAAATCAGAAACAACGATAAAATTTTAAGCAACAGTTACGGTATAGAGACCATCCAGGACATCCTTCCAGACACGAGCCTTGGGGGACCCGCGTTCTTCAAGGTGATCACCTCCAAAGCCATCCTGAAGCTGCAGGCTGAGAACGCAGAAGAAGCAGCATCGTGGAGGGAGCTGGTCCGCGGGGTGCTCATGTCCTACCTGGAGAGCGCGGAGGAGGCGCTGACGCTGGGTGGCAGCTTGGACGGACACTCCCAGGTCATCCTGAAGAACATCGTGAAGGAAAACGGGTTCTTGTTGCAATACCTGGTGGCCATCCCCCTGGAGAAGGGCTTGGACTCGCAGAGCTTCATCTGTGCAGGTAGACGGTGGCTTGTCTGAAAACCCAGCTCTGTCTCGGAGGCTAATATCGCGTTCGTTCAGGTTAACGAGGTGTTTTTGCTGGTTGACGGGGTTAGCACAAAGGACACAGGCACTGAATTAAAGAAGTTAGCTTATTTTCACTTGTGTTTAAAGTGATAAAATAACGAGAAAAATAATGCAGTGAAAATAAATTAAAGCAAGGTAAGGTAAAGCAGCAAAATAATAAGCAAACTACTACAGCAAGCAGAAAATAAGGTAATGCACCTAACCATTACTACATGGAGTCAGCGATAGTGATTAAGAAAGATCCATCACCAGTTGCCCTAATCGTACGTTACCATCATCCAGATCCGCAGCTGCTGGGGAGCCCGGTTGCAGCGAGGATTTGGAGAACCCTTCCCAGCCATTGGGAAATTTCTATATGGTGTGTCCACCGTATAGATGAGGCTTCCAAATTTCCCTGCAAACGTTCCCCGCTTTTATACAGTTGAATAAACAACTTTCTATCTCAAACTGCGAAAAACACCTGGTATAGTTTTTTTTTTTTTTCCCCTTGTTAACTTTCATCTCGAGTTTGGCCAGAACATCGAGAAGGAAGATAACAAGAGGAAAAGCATCAGGTCATCTTGATGATGTACCTCTCGACAAAGCCTGTCATGGCCCTGCCACATTATTTTACCTGGAGGTCTGTCTGTGGGTTGCGATAAGCCCTAGATTTCACGAGGTGCCATCAAATTAAAGAGATGCCCCGAGTCCTGCCGACCTCCTGCAGGCCACCAGAATCCACGTAGGAGGTGACACCAAGCCCCTCGATGGGGTTCACATCCCAGATCCGTGCCACCTTTGGTCCTCTGAGTCCCCCCACCCTGAATCCCCATCCCACCCCAGCACAGGGTCAACTGGGCCACTACTGGGCTCCTGTTTGATGCTTATGGTGTGGACAGCGGGGTCTTGGCTTGAAGGCAACCGTAGATGGACCATTGTGTGGCCCCAGCCTGCTGGGAGAGGGCAGTCCAGGGCAAATGCAGTTTTTCCGGTAGCGCAGCATAGGGATGAATATTGCGATGGGTGTGACGAGCTGATTTTGCAAAACATTCATTTAACCTTCCGCCGGTGCCTCTCGGCACGCGGGGCGATGCTGGTGCGGGAGGGTGACACTCGCTGACCTCCACGGGAGGTGTAATTTGCTCTTTACCTTGGGAAATTAATTAAATTTCATATTTCTCTCCTGCTTCAATTATATTTCTTATACCCTCCAGCAGGTTTGGGTTTTTTTCTTTTAATCTCTCTCCTTTTTTATATAGATTTTTTTTTTTCCATTCTGTTTGGTCTCTCCCTTCCCCTCCAGGGTCCATCCTGCATCTTCCACCTCCGGACAGATGGGAGCAGCAAGCCAGAAAGACAAATTCCCAGTTTTTATGTGTAGATTTTCGTAGGGTTCTGCCTGCCTGGCTTTCACCTCCCTCCCAGCCTGATGCAGGAGGAGTTCCCTTACATCGCAGGGTGTAATGAGCAATGAAAGCTTTTATCTTATTATTAATTACGAGAGGAACATCTGACCTTCATGAGTATTTTTTGGGGATGTGCTCCAGCTACCCCAAAGCGCAAAGGATGGGGTGATAAAGCCGCGCTGGGTTCCTCCTGGGTTCCCCACCACTATATAAAAAGGTTTTTTTGGCTTAATCCATCCTGACCTCATGCCTGGCAGATGTGGTTTTGGTGCCCTGTGGCTGCAGCGGGATAGAAAAGGGCTGAGAGAAGGTGAAATAGGGGCAAAGCTGCTGGTGGAGGTGATGGGGCAGGTGGGGGGGATTTAGGTCCTTC